ACACATGACATGTGGATTTATACTAATTGATCCTCACCCATAGACATAAATTTTTTAGTTCAAAATATATTTGTCTTTAGATTATTGAAATTCCCTAATTCTTGATGAAGAGTACCATTTAATTTCCTTAATGGATAAAATAATTTGAAAAGGCATTTTGATTATGATCAAATAATATCTATAACATTTGTTATTTGGAGGATTGTTAGTCAACTAAGGCTTTGTTTGGGATGACTTTTTTATTGTTTTTCAAAATAGAGTTTTAGTATTAAAATTTTAATTTTTTAATTAAAACTCTGTTTTAAGAAGCAATAAAAAAGACATCCCAAGTGAAGCTTAAGTGATTATTATGGTGTAGTCGAGTAATTATATTATTTATCCTTTTTAAGTATAGCATTGGGCAGATTAGCTTAGCTTGAACACTTTATTCTTTTCAAACTATTACTGGATATGATGCGCTAATCCTTTAGATTAGATTAGTTCATCACTCTTAAGCTTTTTTTAATCCTTTAGATCAAGTTGAGAATTTATATACATATAATTGGGATTTGAATGAGAGTTCTTTTAAGAGAGAATGGTTTAAGGGATTACAATCTTATGTTTATAGATTACATTTTGAGTTTTAGAAATTAGAATTTAATTATTTTCTTTTGTGATTGTTTATCATCTTAGAAAATTTTGGATTAGGCTTCATTTGGGATAGCTGTCCAACAATTTTCTGAAACAATTATCTCGTACAAAAATTTATTGAAAGCAGGAAATAAGCAGTGTCCAAAATTGTCCCGGACGAAACCTTAGAAGATGGTAAAAGCATTTTTTTATGATTAATTTGTTGGTCTCATAAATAGAGTTTAGATTTCATTAGTGAGAATCTGCAATTCATAATAAGTTACAAATATTTGAATGAGAGTTCATTGGTACAATAATGAACCAATATAACATTTATCAAATAACACTATTAAAACAATAATAAACCAATATTTTAGAGACAACATTAAAAATAAATATATTAATATCAACATTAAACACCAAATTATATATGTTTATAAAAAATTATTCATTATTATACATTCATCACTCATATTTATTAGAAAATTAATTTAAAATATATATAAAATTTAGCCCCAAAAAAACTACAAATAAAGTCCTACTTATCCCCGACTTTATCGTCACAATCATCCTAGTCATTATCACATTCTTCTTCTTCTTCTTCTCCTTCTTACTACCTTGTTATTTGTGCTCCATCATCACGAATCAAACAATCTCCCTGACCTACACACGCAAAATTGGTTACCCTTGAGGATGGCTTCTTTTGGCCTTTATGAGGTGGATATTTTTTATATTATACATCTAACTCTTGATTATCTTGATTATCTATACATCCAACTCTTTTCATTTCTTTCTCTCCACATGCATATCATTTCTTTCTCTCCACATGCATATCACATAGTACGTAAATGAGTTAAGTCAAAGTTGAGCCACCCCAAATTTGAGCTTGAGTTTGACTAATTGGTCTACTTCAAGATAAATTTCAAACTTAATTTCGCAAGATCAAGTCAACTCATTTATTCTAAAATAATGAAGATCGTTCTAATTCAAATAGTTGTAATAAAAATGATAAAAAGTAAAAAAAAAATCATATAAGATAAATAATTAGAATCACGTGAGATAAAAATTTTAAATTTCTGAAGTAACTTTGTACACAAACTCTCAAATTTTAATATATTTTAGATGTATTTTATATTAGCATTTTTTCTTAATGAGTTGTATCAAAATCTATAATTCAAATCAGAAATAACACAAACTTAGCTTGTTAGCTCAATTGAGCTCAGCTCACTAGTCATTCTTCAGGCTAGTTACATGATTAATTACTCCACCGCCGACAAGATCTGTTTCACAGTTTTCTCTTTCTTTGTGAACATCATCCACAAAATGTGTTGCACATTCACTTACTTTATATTCATCTCCTATATGACCTTAGTTACGGCTAATTTATAATGTACGTTAAGCATTGCTCAACATTACCACTGCACATAATAATTTTCATAGCTCTTTCTTTTCATAAGAGGAATTATATAAATCATTAAGTTCTTCGGAATGATCACCATTATTCCAAAGAAATTTATGGGTCAGGATTGGATCTAAGATCATCATATTTACTTTGAGATGAGTGCAATATAAATTATAAATCTATAATATTAATGCACCTATTGTTATTATGATGGGTTAGTCATCGGTCTCAGGTCTTGCCACCTGAGCAATGGGCAGGCCAAGTAAGATCATTGAGCCCAAACTTAATGAGCCAAGAAACTTTTTCACTTAACGAATTGAATAGAACAACATTCATGAGCCCAGAAATCGAAAGGCCCATTTGTTAATCCGTCGCCACCAAGCTGAAGGGACTGAAAATAGTAACTGCCACCAGGCCCACCACCATCCCTCAAGTTGTCCGCACCTCGCCATCACATAAATGAATTAATTTAATATTTAATAAAAGATAAAAATAATATTTATTTTAAGATATCAAATCATTTTTGTTGGATATTAAAATATATAAAAGTAAAATTAAAATAAAACAAATGAAATAAATATATAAAATGACTCATAGATATCACAAACTCTTAAAAAATTAGGAGCTGAAAAGTAATGCTATAATTCAAAATATTTACAAGATTAGAAAAAGTTTATTATCTTAGTTATGTAAGAAAATTCCTCCGACATATATAAAACATGATGGGGGACACACCAAGGTTTCTATTTCAAAATTTTGGACATATAGAAAAAATCATTAGGACTAGCCCAATTAAATATGCCATTATGAAAGTAAGAGTATAAAAGTTTGCTCTTCGCCTCAAGTAGAGAAAACAAACTTATAAAGAGGTGATAAATGTTGGAGATTCAGGAAATGGTGATGACATTAGTCATAAAATATCAATCGAGTAATGGTGGTTGAGCTATGACAGGTGAACGATAGTAGTCAAGGGAGGCAATCAAGCTATAGTGATTGGGCGATGGTGATTGACCAACAGTGACTAACGCTTGTATTCAAGCAACGATGTTTAGGCAATGTCAATTATTGGCAATGATTGTTGAGCTTGGCTTTAGAGGTTTTCGTATCCCTAACAAAATGGGAAATGCCATAATGAGAAGATTTGAAGTGGAATAAGATTTTTATAATAAAATATATTAAGGGCACAAATGCAATTATGTCAAATATTTATTTTTTAGCATAATTTTTTTATAAATCCTTCTATATATTCAAATATAGGGAATTAAAAATTATGAAAAAAAAATATTCATATAATATTCCAACATGTCTAGAAGGCTTTCAAGAAATTTATTTACAAAACAAACAACTAATTATCTCAGAAAATTTACTTGTATTGACATATGTCAATTCCTAGAGGAATTACAATTAAATAAAAATTTCCTATTTTCATATATGCATTACCCATAAATTTTTTTTTTTAAATCTTATAATTAAAGTACAACAATATCTATGATATAGAGAAAATAATTTTCAAATTAACTTTATAATAACTACTTAAACATTATTTGACTTTGTAGGTCAAAACATGTCTTATAGAAATTTAAGAATTTTGTCTCTATTTCTAAGGTAAATAGTCATAACATTGTTTAAATATCAAAATAACTTAAAACTATATTTTAATAAGCATTTCAAAGCATCTTATCATTCAAACTTATATTTATGTAAATAGTTTCAAAAAGAAATATATGTATGAGCATTGTAGTCGTTTCATGATTAGAATTAAATCTTTGACTATTACAAGTTAAAAACTTTGAAATATTAATTTGGAGACTAAATAATATCCAAATTTGATGTGCCCATAGTCAAATCAATTGTCCCAACAACATAAATCTAATGAGTCCAAGATCACTTAATTCTAATAACATTAAGGTACTTAAATGCTAAATGAATGATTTATGATCAAGGAAATCGACATGAGCCATCCAATGGAGCATTTTGAATATTTTCACGTATTTATAAGGCATGCTACTCTCCAAAAGTTATAAATGACCTCAGCCTGACTATCATTATTAGACTTTCATAGCCCAATTTCCATCATCAGATCTTCATCACGACTACCGTCATTGAACTTTCATTGCCAGACTTTTGCTTTCAAACCACTGTAGGACTACCAATATCAGACCTTCTGCACACAACTACAATTGTCGGACATTTTCCACCATCAGACCTTCGACCACCTGTATTGGACCATCATCTAACTACTATCATGAGACTGTCATCATTAAATCACTACTAATTGTAACCGTTGGACCTTCGGAGTTCCAACCACCATCGTTGGACCTTCATTATTCCATGATCATTGTTGAACCATTGCCCGACCCCAACTATTGGACCTTCATCGCTCAATCGTTATTGTCAGATTCTCGTCATCGAATTGCCAACATTATGAGATCGTTATCACTTCGCCACAGTTGTATGAATACCTTTTACCTGATACCGGCTCTTCAACATTTTATGTCATCTCTCCATACTCTTATAATCTAACCATTTCCATGTTAGGGGGCAGACAAATATTTGCAATCAATACTCAAATATTGAAATAAAGCCATGACATAACACTCTCGTTACACGGCCGGATTTCATATCAAATGTTAAGTTTTTTTAAAGTGAAATTTTCATATATAATGCTTCAAATTGTAGGATTCATATATTTAAAACTAAAATTTTCTATTTATAAAATAAATCACTTCCCATTAACTATCATTCACTAAAAAAAAATAAAAATTAAATAATTGTTGCATTCCACACTTAACCCCATAGTTGGGGTCACCGCTTCTTCTAGTAGGATTCAAAATACTCCAACCGCACTAATTTTACTGTTAGCGTTCAACATACTAAAAATGGGTCATCGGAGATACTGCGCGCTTCAATGTCAAAAATCAACATCAGCTATGCAAAGCAAGAAATCGCAGCCTTTTACCCAAAAAATAAAATATCGCAGTCTCCATCGTTAAAGAATCCAAAATGACAAACATAAATATAAAGACCAGCAAAAAACAAAACAAAAAAAAAAAAACCTTTTTTTGGGACAAGGCCAGCCCATAGCTTGGACCACCTTCTGGTCCTTTTTTATCCCTCCAGTCCCCGCTAAATTACAAAATGCCACCAAAGTGTACGCTTGTATCTACTATACCCTCACACCCCAGCCTCTGCATATTGGCAAATTATTACGTCAGGTGTTCGGATTCGTCCGGACATCAATTCAGATGTATCATGTCATCAAAATACATCGGATTTTAGTGTATTTGAGTGATGTGACGTATCTAAATTGGATGTCAAGACATCCGGTGATCCGACGTAATAATTTGCCCTCATATTTAACCCTCCCTTCATTAAGTATACTAATTGATTAATCATTGAGCTGGCCTGGCCAGCTCGGTCAGCCTCAAACTACGATCCGTAGCCTTGGAAACCGTAGTGTCGAACCAAGCGGTCGGCCTCCCTGACTCCGCTGAGATATGCGCCGTGAGTGGTCGCGTACCGTGTTCTGTGCGTGGCCTCCCCAGCGAACAGTATCTGGAGCGAGGCATCCACCGGATCCGCGAGCGCATCCTGATCGTCCCCGCTCGATCCGACGGCCACGTAGCTGTAGGACCCCAAGAACCGTGGGTTCCTCCCCCAGCTGCTTCGCCTCACCTTCGAGATCCTCCCGAAATCGCCGGCGGGCAATTTGAATCCGGCGAGTGTGGCGTGAACGCCGTGGATGATGTCTTCGTCGTTTAATTTCTCGATCTCAGCCGCTTCCCGGCCGACGAACCATGCGAGGAGCACGTGCGATCCGCCATAGATGGGGCAGATGGAATCCGTCCTCCTCATCCACCAGGGGATTTCGGCCACGTGCCTCCCCGGATCGAACGCCATCCGGAGAAAGGGAAACGGGGATTTCACCTTACCTATTCCTCCTTCGATCTCCATGAAAAGCTTGTCTACTAGGCCAAACCCTAGCCGCTCGATGGCGCCTCGCTTTGCCTCCGGAAGGAATGGCGAGAACACAAGCCCGCCGGCGCCATTTATCCCCGCCTTGAGGACGCCGAGAGAGACGGTAACGATCGCGTGATCGGCGAGCTCAACTTCGCCGTCATCGAAGTGGAGTTTCACCCCATGGTCGCCGGAGAGCCGCCATTCGACGCGGGAGACGCTACGGCCAAGACGGATCGTGCCGGGAGGGAGCGCGGCAGCGATGAACTCGGGGACTCGGGAGTAACCGCCGGGCAACGTGATATGCTCGCCAGGAAACTCCATGTACTCCTCTTCAGCCGCGAGATCGAGCGTGTACAGATCGTCCACCGCCGTGTACTCCCTCTCCCCGCACTCGTGCATCGCAAACGCCGCCTCCTCCATCCAATCGCCGCCGTTCGCGGCTCGGTATGATTCGAATCCGCTACGGAGGAACGCGCCGACGCTAATGATTTCCTTATCGTCCGAAATCTCGCCGGAGACGATCAGAGATTTAAGGTGGGAGAAGAGGGCCGAGATGCGGCGGAGAAGGGCGGGATCCAAAGCTTGGCCGCCCTCGGCTAGGGTGAGAGCATCAGAAGGAAAGCCATCCATGCGTTCCCATGGGAACTGGGTTTCGCCGTCGTCCCCGCGTTGGTTCGGAATTAGAGCACCAGCCTTCCTGGCGACGTCGTAGATTGGGCTTCCTTCAATGCCGTGAATCCACGTGGCACCCATCTCGACTCGAGCGCTGGCGAACTCAGAGGTGAAGATACGGCCGCCGATACGGTCGCCGGCCTCCACAACAACTACGTCGAGGAGATCGCCGGTGCAAACATGTAGCCGCCTCGCAGCGGCGAGGCCAGCCATTCCGGCTCCGACTATCACCACTTTCGGCTTCCTTCTATCTACCTCTCCCATCTCTGTCTCTCTCTCAGTCGCCAAGCTTGATCTCTTTCTCTCTCTCAGTCGCCAAGCTTGAAGGGAAGTGGGCTGAGACCTGGAGAATGAGGCCGAGCCTGCTTAAGAAGAAGACAGCAGTCGGATTTTTGCGCTTGGCTGTAATAAAGTTGAAATAATAATTTAAGATAATTTGATATTTATTAAGAGGATTTTTATTATAGATACTTTCTAAATTTCTTCTTTAGTTGCTCGGTTATTGGAACTTTTATTACATCCAGTGAACGTACGCTTCTCTACGTTCGGTTTTAGGCAAAAACGCGCTTGTACCTCGGTACTCGGTACTCGGTACAAGCGCTTTTTTTGCCCAAACCGAACGTAGAGGAGCGTACGTTCACTGGATGTAATAATAGTTCCGGTTATTGGGTGATGCAACAAACAGTTTATTCTTTAAGAGTAATGTAACATTATTAGATAATGTAAAATAGAATGTAAAGTTTGGAATTTGTTTTGAATTTTGTCTTATGTATATTTTTATTTTTTTATAAATTTGCCTCTGTATGTAACCAATCCCACATAGCAGATAAAATTTTATTGTTGCCGTTGTTGACGATATTTTTCAAGAGAAATATTAGGGTTTGAAGAAGTTATAATAAGATCTCATTAAGATTTTGTTCGAGATCGTTTTTTTATTTATTGATTTCTAAAACATATTTTTAGTACCAAAGTTTCTAGTTTAAGAAAATTTTTTAGTTAAAAAATGCTTTAAAACCCGTCTCAAATGAAACCTAAATATAAAATAAAGTAAAAATCAAAATAGTTAACAACTTTAGATCTACATTAAGATTAGTGTAATTATTGCCGTTTGTTTTTTCTGAAAGATTTTTTTGGTTTATGCTGATGTGCTGGGTGATAGTTGGCACTCCACTCTTTTTGGTGTTGGGTTGGAGCTGGACGGTGATGGAAATATTTGGCAGGCCATAATTTCCATTTGGATTTGCTGGTGGCATCCTCTGTTGCTGCCCAAATCCTTCTTCTGCGGCTGTTATGTCGGATCTGAGTTTTTTGGGCAGGCTTATTTTTGGGTCGTGGACGATGATAAATCCTGCCACTCCTTTTGGATGGTCTACAGGCAACCAAAGGAGACTGATCGCCTTCATGATTGGATAATTTAATTATGAGTCCAGGCCAGGCAGGTCTTCTGCCTGCTTTTTTGGTTCTTCTTTTTGGGGTTTATAGTTGGTTATAATTTTTGTTATTGCTGCTTGCCTTCTTTTTGTTCAGGCAATGCTTTTTTGGTTTATTTCATTATAATCATGTTGGTCTTTTAATAGAATGGGCTAAGCCCTCAAAAAAAAAAAAAAAAAGATTAGTGTAATTGCAAATCATGCCAAAATATCTCAATGCAATTTTTTCCTCAAATGTAAATGTTTCTGTGCTATTGCAGAATGATATCATCAATATTCTTTATCTTTTCTAAATTATTATTTTTTTTAAAAATCCAAATCAATAAAGTCTGCTAATAAAGGGTAAGTGTGTAAGCTAGCAAACAACGGTCACGATCTGTAGCTTTGGGCTTCGGTGGCTAAGTCAAAAGTTGGTGTTGAATATATGTGGTTATAATGACAATATAGATTCGATTTGGGGAACTTTTATTAATGCGATCATTGGGTATTTATTAATATATTATTTCATTACTTGTGTAGAATTAAAAAAAAATAACTTTATTTGCCCACTTGCTTGAACTACTATTAAGTAATTCAAACAAATTTGCTTCAATCTAATAATCAATCTTAGAAGAATGAGATATTATTAGGTGCAGAGTGCGGACGAGCAGAACCGTCCGCACAAGCACTATACCCAGCTAGGTACCGGCACTCGGTGCCGCTGGGTACCCAGTGCTTGTGCAGACGGTGCACACTCTGCACCTAATAATTTTTCTAAAAAGAACAGTGTTTACATTGAATATAAATCATTTGTGGTAAAATGTTTCTCTTACTCAATAAGATTAGATCATGGGTTGAAATTAGGTTGCTAATAGAGGACTTTTAAAGACACTCATGCGGTCTTAGTGATTCATTTTCTTTGTGAATTATTTGAGCATGGAGAAAAGAATATTGAGTGATAGAGTTTTAGGTTATGTCTAAAAAATTCTCCTTTGTTAGATAATAAATCATAATTAAGTTTATTTGAATTATATGGCATCAATACTTTTGATTTGCACAAACCCTCAGATAATTACATTTTGAATTGGATGTCTTCGAATACTCTCTACTGAGAATATCGATGTGATATGAAATAGAAGTTGGAAATTTATTTTATGGTTGCAGGGGATCATTAAAGATGGATGGTCAATTTGATCAAGTTCTCAAAGTATTATCTTCTTGGGTTAACATAATGGACCTAGTTTACAAATGATACAAAGTTTGAAAGCCATGTCATTTAAATAGGTTGCCTCCTATCAAACATCTCTTGAAGATCAAATTGACGTCGAAGGGCACGTGTCTTTAAAGTAGAGCACAAAGTTTACCTCATTTAAAAACTATAAAGGGATTGATTAAATGGATCATTATTTAGAGGTCAATTAATGTGACTTACAAACCTTAAAGCCACATCTTTTGGTAGAGGGCTAATTATTGTATCCATAGGTTGCCTCAAAATATATAGCAATAAGTTAAATAGGTTGGCTCACTTTCAAGCATTAAATTAATCATATAATTCTAAAGGAGATGACCAATAACCGGTACTTACAAACCTTTAGTGAGCGGAGGTCCATTATATAGGTCTTACTGGTCTAATATTAGAGAAATTTGTGTGTCAGACTTCTAACCGCAGTTTAATAAAAGTCAGATAGTGAGCCTTAAAGCCACATCATTCAAGTAAAGTGATCTAAAAATGAATATTCATTATAAATATTTTTCAAGAGCCTATGAAATTATAAAGCCAATTTTTTTATGAATACTGCATCTTCTGATCCAAGTGCATAACACATAGATCAATGTGTCACATTTATCATTGTAGGCTTTAACATCTATGTTAATATAATTTTCTAAATACATTTCAATGGTATAAAACTTTGAAAAAAAATCATTAAAGTTTAGACATTTCAATCACCTAAAAATTCTCTCATAAAATGCACTTTTTAGAGAATCATGGGAACTAATTTTTTGGTTTGCTCTCCAAAATTCAAGTTCACTTGGGAAACACTCATGCATTAAAAATTATCTTAAGAGAATATTAAATGTCATCTTTAATGACATAAAAACTCAAAGACATTATAATATATTGAAAAAACATATTATTCATTTTGGAAATTAATAGGTTGCTTTTTAAAGCAACTTTTTAGAACAAAAATTAAAAATTTTGTATTAGAAAGTTGATTTACCGAAGCAGTAAGAAAACCGTCCCAAACGAAGCCTTAGTTTCCAACAATATGGGATGTAATAATTTGCCCTCATGGTGAATTATTACGTCCGATCACCGGACATCTGGACATCCAATCCAGATGCGCCATGTCACCCAAATACACTGGGCCCGATATATTTTGGTGACGTGGTGCGTCTGAATTGATGTCCGGACGAATCCGGACACTGGATGTAATAATTTGCCCTCCTCCAATAGGAGGAGAAAATTTTACTCCATTGCAGGATAAGAGTACCCCTGATTGATCTAGTAAGCGCATTCATCAATTTTCACGGGACACTCTACCCTATAAAGTTATCTTTTAACATTAGAGGTGATTCAAGAAAATTATCTAAAGAAAAAGGAAATTATTTAAAATTATAATAAAACCTCTGCTTTACAAATAATTAAAAGATATATACTTGAAAACATCTTACAAAAAAAATCCGTAAGATCGAGGTTGGAATAGAAAGCATGTTATCAAAAATAAGCTTCTCACTGAAAGAATTCATTGATAAATGGTTTCATTAATCTTCACAAAAGATATCCAAAATATATTACATTGAAAGCTTAAAATTTCACAAATCCATTACTTTTTACTTCACAATAGGTTTAGTATTTATATAGTAGAATATCTCATAAAATAAGCATTAGAGTATTAGGAAAAAATGGCTCATATTTTGAAATTCTTACATAATAAATTATTATTGAAAATATGAAAATACTCTCGTGCATAGAGGTGTCAAATCGAGTTGGTGATTTGGGTTCGAGTCTGACCTGAATATGTTTGACTTGAATCTAATTCATTTCTCATATGAATCAAAATGTTTGACTTGATCTCAACTCAATCCGAACTCGCTAACTCAAACCCAAATTGTGTAATGCATTTATTATATAGATTGTATAATAGATCATTACAACTCATGTAATCCAAATACGACCCGTTTAACCCGAAAATGATATATTTAACTCGAACCCAACCAGTTTAATCTAACCCTGAATCATAATCAAGTCAATTTCTAATAAATTTTGAGTTTTCAAATCAACCCCAACTCAATCTTAAAATTAATCGGTATAAGATTTCATACCTAAATCTGTCTCAAATAATAACTAATCTGGTCATCCCTAATATTAATTTTTTGAGTCAGATCGAAATCAATCTATTTATGGACTCCCCTAGTTATACATGCTTAATATCTCTCTTCACTTATATTTAAAATAAAACACCGATTATCATTAATCACTTAGTTAATTAAAGTAACCTAATAAATAATTCTTGAAACTTCATCATAATTCAACAATAGATATTTATTAGAACTCTAAGGCTTCGTTTGGGACGGCTTTCTAGCTTTCTGCTTTTTAAAGCAGCTTTTTAGTACAAAATTTAAAATTTTTATACTAGAAAGTCGTTTTAAGAAGCAGGAAGATAGCCATCCCAAACGAAGCCTAAATGATGAAATTAATCTTCTTAAATTCACTCTCATAGAAACTCTTAAATGCAAATAAAATTTATGGGATCTGTCACCAACAATATATTATTATCAATTTCCAACATTAAATGAGCTGTAATATCTTAAAATATGCTAACAACCATACTTATAAGTACATTAGTAAATACAAAAAAATATCACCACCAGCAAATATTTGATATAATTTAATGCCTACAGTGTGCTGTTGAAGAAAACTGCTACAAAATGGCCCCCATAATTATTAATTTATGTTGCAAGTGGCCTTCTAAAAGCCACAATTCCTGCACTCTAACTTATAGACTAAACGAAGTGGTTGGGCTGAGAAACTTTATATAAATAAGTGTGGACAACATAAATAA